CCTGTGTTTTGTCAGTCGTGACTTCTCCCTTGTGGGTGAAGACTACCTTGATGAGCATTGTATTCCCAGTGCTCTGAGTGGTCCCAGTCCAAGGTGCTTTAGAGGCTTTCATGAACTGCAGTGTAAGGGAGTTACTGCCCCCATCTGACGACTACTCTCTTCCTCTGTCTCTGTAGAAGCTGCTGATGGGAGTTCCACCCTGGGAGGGGGCGCTGGCACCATGGGCTTGAGTGCCCGCTATGGACCCCAGTTCACCCTGCAGCATGTGCCTGACTACCGCCAGAACGTCTACATTCCCGGAAGTAATGCTACACTGACCAACGCAGCTGGCAAGCGGGATGGCAAGGCTCCAGCAGGTGGCAATGGCAACAAGAAGAAGTCGGGCAAGAAAGAGAAGAAGTAATAGGGAGGCCAGGCCTTGAGCCACAGGCAGTTTCCCTCCCCAACCAGCCCAGCTTGTCCTTCTTTGTACCCAGGCCTCAGAATTTCAGGGCTCACCCCAGGATACTGGTAGGGGCCAAGGCCATGCTCCCCGTTGGGAAACAGAAACAAGTGCCCAGTCAATACCTCCTCTCTCTTCCCCCAGGGGGTTGAATATGCAAAGGGAGTTCTGCTGGGAACCCCCATCTAATCAGTTATTGTACCCACATGGGTAGTGGGGTTAGTGTAGACACCAAGAACCATGTCACACCCCCTTTAGTTACAGATGAACTCCTCTATCCTCCAACTCAATCAGGACCATCCATCCCATGCCTCCTTCTCCCCACCCCACCCACTCCATCAGAATCCCTCTAGAGCAAGGTAGTTGGGCTGTTGAGGTAACAGCTCATAGTTCTGAAGAGTTGGGAGAGTATTAGAACCATTTGGCCTTTCCTTCAGTTCATTCGTACCCCAAAGCATGGTTTGGTGCCAGTCTTACCACCCACCCCTGCCCCCTCTAGAGCCTGAGACCGCTGCTTAAGTTTTGGGGAACATAGTCACCATCCCCATGGTACTGATGCTTGCTGGATTTGGGGAAGGCATTTTGCTACCAAACCTCTTCTCAATGCCTGGGGACCAGTCTTTTGTTTTCTTATTGTTTGATGTTCCACTGCATGCTGTGACTTCCCTATTCCTCAAAGAAGAGACTCCTTTGCATGTGTGGAGACAGTAGGGGGTGGAAAGATAAGAGGGAAGTGAGTGTATATGGATTTGGAGGGGGGACGCAGTGGACAAAACTTAGCCTGTAAACAGGGTCTTGCAGAGGCTCTGTATGTCCCCAGGGTGCTGGCTCCAATCCCCAAATTCCAGCCATAGACAAACACCAGGCCAGACCCCTCCACCCCACTTCAGCCTAGGCAGCCAGCTTGGGCTGAGGTACCAGGACCAATGGATTTGAACTGGCCTTTCAATCCAAGGAAGCTCTGAATGGATTTAGGACTAAGTCCCCATAGAGGAGAGAGGGGTCTCTGTGGGTGCTGGGTACTCCAGAGGTGCCCCTGGTGGGAGGGTCAGTGGAACTCCAGCAGGAAGGGAGGCCCAGGGAGGCCATTCTTAGTCCCTGGGTCTTAGTCAAGGAGCTAGAGCAAGGGACTAAATGGCCATAAAGTCTCAGCCCGTAATGGGGCTTTTCCACAGAGCCCCTGCAGTCCTCCTGCCCTTCACCTTACAGGTGCCGGTTCTTCTCTGTGAAGGCCACTGCCCAGACCCCCAGGTTGCCCCCTAGTGGCCAGAGACTGGTTTAAGTCCCCCAGTGCCTCCTTGTGTATAGACCTTCCTCATGCTTCCACATGCTTCTGCCCCTGCTGTCCGGTTCATCCAGGGGTACTGCAGGAGGACCCCTTTCCCCCCAGCCCTTACAATAGTGTAGCGCCCCCTCCCCTGGCTGGTGTAGAATAGCCAATAGTGTAGTGTGGTATGCTTGTATGTGATGGCGAGTGGGCAGCGGGCGGGTGGGCTGCGCGCAGCCGCAGCCATCTGTCCTTGAATCTGAATCTGCCTGCGGCGGCCAGTTCTGTGTTTTGTGCTGTGTCACGCGCTGTGGCGACCCCCTCCCCCGCAGTGATGCCTCTATAAGAGCTTCTCCGCATAGTCACGTAGTTCCCACCCCATCCCCTTCCTATATCTCACGCAAGTTTTATACTCTAATATTTATATGGCTTTTTTCTTCGAAAAAAATAATAAAAAAAGGTTTCTTCTGAAAGGCTGGCCGCTTGTGTTTAAGAAATGAATCTCTTGACATGTGGATGGAGTGATGATCTGAAAGGTTTGTCCTGGGGTGACAGAATCAAGAGGCCATAGTTGTTTGCATCTGAGCGTCTACATCTATTTTTGAATTCCGTGTGTGTGTGTGTGTGTGTGTGTATAGTCTATGACTGTCCAATATGGCTGTGCATGCTTCTGCTACCCTGGTGCCTCTGTAATACTGTGCGATGGATTGTAATGGTGCTTGTGGATCTGTATGCAGTGCTGTGCCGGCTTGAGGATGTACCGTGGGGGTGGGGAGTTTGAATGTGTGAGCAACTGAGTGCGCAGATTTATGCTCCCGGCTGTCTCCGGGCAGAAAAGGAGACCCTGCTCGGGCGGGGGCGGGAACTGGGGGCCAGTTGGCGCCAGGCAAATGGTGCAGGGGATAGTTCTTTAGTTCCCTCCCGCTTCCTCAGTAGTTACCTCCCTCCTGCGCCAGCTGGGGGCTTCTGGGGAGGAGAGCGCACGTTCTCCTCCGGCAGCCCTCCTCCACTGCAGTTGCCTAGAGGTTTGAGGAACACCGCGAGAGTGGGAGGGAATGCCGGGGACACAATTCTCTAAAGGCCGTCTCTACCCCGGGCCTCCGTTTCTCTACCTGGAATTTGCCTTCCCGGTTTCTTTACGGCAAAGCCTAATTTGAGGGCGCAACCCTTTCTCGGTGAAGAGGACTGAAAGGGCATACAAGAGGAGGCCCAGGCAGCCAACTCGCCCTCCCCGCCCCCCAAGCTTCTCCATTCAACTCTCCCCTCCTCCCCTCCTGGCTCCTGCCCTCTCCAAGCACGGGAATTCCAAGGTTGCTGCAGCCGCCGGAAACTTTAGCAGGCTGGAGGGATGACGCGGAGGTGCAGGACAGAAACAAATCCAGAGGTTTTCAGGAGGGTCAGGGAGGGAATGGCCATTTAAAGAGCCAGTAGAGCTGTTTCAGAATCCTTTGGATTCTGGTGACTGGTTCTGCCACCTCCTGGTCTGTTGTCATGGAAACCAAACCTTCCAAGGAAGCATTCTGGGGGCGACTTTCTTGTGATGTGTGAGGTTGCAGAGATGGGAGGATTTTGTTTCTTCCCTCCAGTAAAGGAAGGGGTGAGATGCCAGGTGCCTGGGTTCTATTCCAGGCACTGCAGCAGACAAACTGCACCCCTGAGCAGCTGTGGTTTGTCCCCTAATTAGTATGTGGGGCCCTTAAAGCTTAGACGACCGAGTAGCCTCTGGGGGAAGGGGAGGAAGCAGGTAGCCACCTCCACACTTCCAGCCAGGAGAGGGAGGCAGCTGACCTGGTAGGCCCCTGGCTATTTAAAAAGATTTTTATTTCTAGTTCCATAGGCTACCCAAGTAGGTTTAAGGTGGGTCCTGTCCAGGCCCCTCCCTGTCCATCACGGGCTTACTGCCCATAAGGTTTCTTTGTGGGGTTTACAAACATGGCTGAGCAGGCTCAGGATCCCTGCCCCAGGCTAAGCCT